TTTTTGCATTATCACCAGTCAAAAGCACCACCCGCATTCCCATCTTCGACAGTGCCCACACAGCCAAAGGAGCCTCGTTCTTGATTTTGTCCGCTATTGAAATAATCGCCACCGCCTCTCCTGCAACAAATACTCATCAGCTGCTCAATCCTAATATCTCCCATTTCTGAGCATTTCCAAAACTGAGTTGGCGGCTTGGAACGCGTTCATACTTTGCGATCCGATCGCGCGATTCACACGATTAGGCCGCGAAAACTTCTAAGGACGTGTACATCGCTCCTAGAAGTTGTACAAGGACGAAGGACGTGTACATCATTATGACAACTGCCGTTCAAAGGCACGGTCCGCGATCAGGTATAGAAGTTGAAAATATGGCGTTGGGAGGGTAGTGTGGTCCGCGACGAACAACCTTGTACCGGTTTCGCGGCAAAAAATTGTAAGGGAGGGGCGCTATAGCGCAATATAGGTTCAGTGACGCCTCCTTTTTTCCAGTGACTCCGCCTCCAAGGCACGCTCTCCAGTGCAAAACGAAGCTGCAGACGAAAAAGCATGAAAATCGTCACTTGTACGGTCGTAGAGTTCTTATCGGGGAATCAGCTGTGCGGATGAGGGCGTAGTGTTGGAGATGGAGTTCACTGGGCACAAACTGGGATCGAAATGGGGTTCTATCTGGGGCAGCTAGCATGGTTACTAAGCACCTTATCGTCTATATGCAAACCCTTAATCCACTATCTGGGATGGCGAATGATCGTGGGCTTTGCCTTCATGGCCGCAATTCACGCATTGGGGGTTATTTCTCGCCCGAAGAGTGTGAAGTGTGGCGTCGACTTCAGTCTGGAAGCAGAATTCTCGCCCGTTACTAAACGTTCCCCGAACAAATTGAGCCGCCTAGAACTCGTTCAAACTTCGCAATCCGATCGCGCGATCCTCACGATAGACCGCAAACAACTTCTAGATAACATGGTATTAAGAGTTATCGTAGGCGTTCAAAATGATTATAAAAAGAGGTATTCTACCCGACAGATCCAACTCTATGAGTACAAAACAACTAGGCCCCTACGTTGTTTTGCTAACTCATATGAACTTATGCCGGCATTTCTAAATATTACGAGACTATAAAACCCAAAAAACAAACCATTTATGGCGCAAAGTACGGAAATATGGCCTTTTTGCTGTTCAACAGACAGTGCTGCAACAGTGATATCATCGATTACGATTCCATACTTTTCCATCATTCGTTCACTTCCGATCACCACTTCGTAGATATCTTTATCTTTCTTAGTCTTCAAAGTTGGCATACATGAAACCTGGAACAAAACGCAAATTTTGTTAGAAATTCATATTTGGCAGAAAACTGCTACCTGCTTGTGAATGACACTGGAGTCGGAAATCACCATTTCCTCACCATCGGATAGTACAGGTCCGTTTACTTGACTGATAGAATCGAGTGACTTCCGAACACCCGAGATTTGGCATGCCACTCCATGTCCGGCTGACACATGAAACCGCGACACAGCGGCCCACGTCGGATCTTTCAGCCACTAAACAGGCATGGGAACAATGTCACATTCAACATAAACTGTTTACAACAAGTAACGTACCTGTTTTGCGAAATTAGTAATTGCTGCTCCTATGGGATGCTCTGATTGAGATTCTGCAGATCCACATATGAGAACCAGCATTTTCAGCGGAATGTCCAGTGGTGATCGTAGGGTCAATATGGAAACCACCCGTGGTCGACCTTCTGTTATAGTACCGGTCTTGTCGAAAATCACTGTGGTCACCTGAAAGAGAAACGAAGCATTGTCACAGACCCTACAAGAAGAAAGTTTGACGCTAATAAACTTGGAAGGGGGGGGAGGCGTTCAAGGGGCTTCTTCTGCAAAAAAAGGAGAGAGACGAGAGAGAAGAGAGAGAGGGAGAGAGAGAGAGAAGAGAGAGAGATCCGACAGATGACGATGAGAGAGAGAGAGAGAGAGAGAGAGTAACATCGTCCGCAGACCAGGAATGAGGAATCGGTTTACCTGCCGGATTTACCTTCAAAGGCTCGGCTCACCACCCACACGGTCCAAGTGTGAAATCCCTGATAGGCTCTCGACCAGGCAACCGATCCGGGACTTGACACCTGGACGGTGTGGATGGGAAGCGGCCTAATTTGTCGTTACAACATCTCTGCCTTTTGGATTATTGTGCTCAGAACCACAAGCGCTACAATCTTGTCAGACGTCATGAGGAATATTACGAACAGGCGTCAGGAGGGGTGGAAAATATGTTCGGACCGTGGCAGGCCTTTTTCCATTATTGTAGCAACAATGGCATCAGCTAACCACAAGAAAGTAAAAAGAATAATTGGGCAGAAAGTGAGAAAAGTAATGAAAAAATAATAGGTAATAAGAAGGAAAATGACGAGTGAAAGAATACAACGATGATCATGTCACAAACCTTATGAACGGTCTCAAGGGGTTCGCCGCCTTTGATGAGAATTCCATTGATCGCACCGACTCCAGTGCCAACCATCACAGCTGTGGGGGTTGCCAGTCCAAGACTGCAGGGACAGGCGATCGCCAGTACTGTGATTGCCGCTTCGAATGCCACCTTCATGATGCTTTCAAAACGACCTGTCGGTGTCTGAAAAAGAAAGCGGAAGTATCCGCTTAGAGCATGGAGAACAAACATGGTGAGTAAGACCACAACAATATTCAAAACCAAAAGACGATACGGCAAGCGCCATGACCCGGCTCCCTGCTTGCGTTCAATTGTGTCCCTTTCAGAGAATGCGCTTTAAAGCAAAGCCCGCCGATCATTCGCCAATCACGAGTAGTGGATGTAGGGCTGGCAATAGACGAGAAGGGTCTGAGTGGCTCGATTCGTGCCCATTGATCAATTGTACATGCTAATTAATCCATCTCGCCTTAGCCACCCAGTTTGCACAGCTATATTTCCCAATAAGAAATATGTAACCGTACAAGGGACGCATTTTTCAGTGCTGCAGCTTCGGTTGTCACTGAAAGCGAGTCTTGTGGGCGAGTCTGCGGGCGCGGTCACTGGAGAAAAGGTGGCGTCACTGAACGTATATTACGCTATAGCGCCTCTCCCTTACAATTTTTTTTGCCGCGAAACCGGTACAAGGTTGTTCGTCGTAGACCACACCACCATCCCGACGCCATATTTCCAATTGCTATACCTGATCGAGGACCGTGCCTTCAATAAAGGTCTGCCAACGAATCCGAGACATAAACACCCCAAATAAGCTACTTATTTACCAATCTGGATTTGACACAAAAAGCATAAGACTTCTGCCGCTACACGACCTTACAACGAATTAGCTCGACAAGGGATGTTTGACAAAAAGCCGACTGACCATCATTTCATATTTTTGTGACATATATCCAATAACGATCCAAGCGAATAGTGTAAGTAGTGCTAAGAAGATCACACATGGTACAAAATAGCCAGCAATACGATCAGCCATTTGCTGGATTGGAGCCTTAACAGAATCATTTAGTGCTCATTCAGTAACTCATGCGACAACAATAAAATTAGCTGAAAAAATTATTCGCTCACTGAGGTTCAAAAACCTCAAGGAGCGCATAAACGTTCGACAAGAATACCTTATTAGTTTGCGCTTCTTCAACAAGTCGCACAATTTGGGCCAAAGTCGAGTCCTGTCCAACCAGCGTTGCCTGTATGATGAGCACACCTTTTTGGTTGACCGAACCACAATCACAACACTTCCTAAAGGCTTTCGTTTACTGCAGCTCAATGGAAAAGATCCTCGGAAGTTGGGAAGAAATCAGAAGCAAATGTGTGGCCATTCTTATTGAAACTTGCGTCTTACATTCGGATGGCTGGTAGGTTCGAACCAGCGCTGCATCCTTGCTACCTTCACATGTCAGTCAGCTGGCACTCTAACTTTCAAGTCTATCAAACCAAGGCATGATAATTTGGTACTCGCTCAGAAATAATAGCAGCGGTGCTATATAGTGGGGAAACTGACGAAAAAGCGAAGCTAAAGGCTAAACACCCGTGTTTTGCACGGCAATGAGCGAGCATTTTTGGACGAGTTTCCCGTTGGCATTGTATAAACAGCCGCTTTGATATAGCAAAGCTTCATATCAATTGTTCGATGTGACCGTACGGCCATTCGTGGGCGGGTCGCCGCGCCGACAAAAAAGACCTTGAGAGCTGCTCCGAATAAGGTGGAAAAATACGGTATCATAAAAACTTCGCTGAACATGACCACACCAGCGGAGATAGAATGCAGCAAGGAAGCTGGCTGATGGATGAAAATCAATTTTGTTTCGGACGACACGTTCATACAGAGAGCTTGGTTATGGGGCTCGGCGACGGGGGGGGGGGCATGTTGCTTGTGCTACTTCCCATCGACGTGTCGACCTATCTAGACTTGACAGGTTTTAACATGATGGCTTGACGACCTTGCTCCAGCTTCACAAGAGTTCACAGGTTTCGCCAGAGTGAGACTTGTAACCGGAACTAAGGAAGCAATAATAGTACAAAATGCCCCCTCCGTCGCCGAACTGCGCCTGCTTTTATTTTGTATGTCTGGGAGCGATGCAGGAGCACCTATGGCTCTTCTATCCACAACGCCTTGTTCGCTTTTCTTTCTTTTCGTTTATTTTCTTACCTGGCTTCTTTACAACCGGCATAGATTCTCCTGTTATAAATGATTCATCCGCTGAACTCTGACCATCCACCACTATTCCGTCGACTGGCACTTTTGCACCTGGTATCACCTTGATCAAGTCGTTACGTTGAACCTAAATCATGGAGTGGAAATCGAGAGGCAACGATTAGCGTTGCGTAAGCTCTTCGTACCAGTTCTATGTTGATTCCCCTTTCGGATGTGACACGGCCTTCGGCGTCCATGGTTATTAGTGTGGCTTCCTTAGCTTGAAGTGACATCAAACGACTCAACGCTTCCGATGTTTTGCCCTAGAATGTCATAATTTCGCAGCAGAATAAACAGCTTTTCTGAAGCGCTTACCTTTGCTTTGTGCTCCAACATACGACCTAATGATATGAATACAATGAGCATAGGAGGAACGTCAAAGAACGTCATCGGGCTTGATGGCCACCTTGAAGATACATATGTAGGCAGTGGAGGAGCAGAACTTGACGACTATGCCTGCACTTTACCTCAGTACTAATGCAATAATAAGAACAAGTATCGAGTATGTGAAGGCGATCGTCGTAGCCAACACTATTAACACATCCATATTCGCCTGGCCATGCCGTAGCGCTTTCCAAGATGCCACATAGAAGTACCGTCCTCCAATT